TATTCATATATTTGTAAAGGTAGTATATAGTGTTGTGCTTAATGAATAGCTTAAAATATACTGGTGCATTTTTGGTAAGGCCCTAATATACTAAACAAAATAATTTTTTCCCCATCATTATTTATCCATTAAAATAAGTTGCTGCTAATAAAATGACAGCAGTAAGAAAAAAGCAGCTAGGTAAGCATCTGACAATAAGAATTTGGAATAGGAATTTTTTTCAGGAATGTGAAACACGAAGTCAGATGTTGCCCTTTTGCTGGAAGTGCATTACAATTTCTACTTTAAAGCAGCTTTTCAGTGTTTTTTAATGTGGACATTTTATATCAACTGACTGAAAAGATTGTAGATTTTATTAAAGATATTTAGTTTTTGCTTGAAGTGTATCAGGGCCTTTGTAGTGTAACAAACAATTAACTGCTTTTCCAGCAGTTAATCTCATCAAAGGCACAGTAAGTATTTTTTTTTGCCACTAGAGGGCATGTTTTCACAACCAACAAAGGTGTAATTTTGTTGACACCATGGGCTCTATTTTAACAATCTAGGCGCAGAGTCTAAAGCGCAGGGCGCAAAAGCAATAAGGCCATGTTCAAATCCACTTTTGCTATTTTAAGGACGGAAAAATACACGTTGCGGCGCATGGTCTAACAGAGTTGTGCTTATTCTCTTAATGAGCTATGGGTGCATTAAACCAATCAGAGTCTCATTTCCCATTCCCTTTAAGAGTCGCTCCGTGGTACATTTGCTATTTACATGCTGGACTTTGTAAGTGGAAAAAACTGAATGGAAAACTAAATGCTTCACTAGCGAGAAAACACTTAAACAGACCATCTGCAGCGAGAATAAAGAATGAGTCTTCTTCATTCTGCCTCTTTACTTTCTCTTTACTTCTTAAATTTTGTAGATGAGGAAACAGTGTTGTACACACTCTACTGAAGGCATCCATCAGCTTAAATATTTAATTTTGTTTGTTGAGCGCAAAGATTTATTTCAAAACTATTTCTAAATTAATTTCTAATTTCCAGCAAACGAATAAATGAACAATAATAACAAAGTGTGGGCAAAAAGAGTTATAGCCAAACACGCATCCTATTCTTATGCCCTATATGGTGATTCAGATGTCTTTAAAAGCCAACAGGTGGACAAATCTAAACTTGTTTTTGATCAAACAAATATAAATATAGTCCAAAAGCGGTGCAAATAAATTTGTTATTTAAACAACGTGGTGCAAAATGGGAAAATTAGGCTTGCGTTGGTCTAAAAATAGCAACACTTTGCACCTAACACGTCTTTATTGCCCCAGGTGTATAATAGGGCCCCATGAGTGAGGAGTCATAGAAGTTGTCAACTTCATTACATCGTACAGGACTTCTGCAGAAAACATGTTCACGGATGAGCTAAAGTATTCAAAATGTATTATCATGGTAATATGAAGCAGAAAGGCATCATAGCTTTTGTTTTGTTCGCAGTTGATCACTTCCGTTCGTGATTATGTGCTTATCAATATATTAAACAATATATTCAATTTAATTAATGTTTATTTATATAGCACTTTTACAATGTAGATTATGTCAAAACAGCTTAAAATAGAAGTTCTAGTAAATTATTCAGTTTAGGACAGTTCAGTGTGGTTTAAAGTGTGGTTTGTTTTAAAGCGGCTTTGTTGTTCCAGCGTTTTCTACAAAATCAAACCAGATATTGATGTGTCATGTCATTAGTATGTTGACACTAGTCACTATAATTAAAATAGCTAAATATACATCACTGTTCTAGTTTTATAATTTAATAAAAACATTGTACATGTTATGACTTTAAATTCAATACAACCAGCTGTTACATTTTAGACAATGTTTTGATGCACTAAATACCATAACGTCTTGTATACTGTATGTAAAAGTCTATGTATATTTGAACTCAGAGTATTGCTACTGCCATAGATTTAAAATCTTATTTGGATGGTCCCTTTAATGCATTTAAAAAAAAAAAAAAAATGAAGTTACTTTGCATCTACATGCCAACAAATTCTCATTAGATTTTAAGTAGACTGTTAGATTGGGTTGGTGTAAGTTGGCGTACTTGCAAAGTTTCAGTATCAGCAGATATTAAGCAGACAAACTAATACTCAAGTGAGAAATAATTGGCACTATAGGCAGCATCAAAATACAGGGCTCTATCATACACCCATCACAAGGGGTGATGTAAATGTGGTTTGCTAGTTTCAGCTTGGCGCCAGCTTACAAAGTCCGCCATGTAAAAAGCAAATGCGCTATGGCACGACACAACTGACTCTTAAAAGGGAATGGAAGATGAGACTCTGATTGGTTTGTTCTCAAAACACACCTATAACTCTTTAAGAGAATAAGCTCAACCCTGTTAGACCATGCGACATGGCGCAAAGCAGATTTTTCCATCCTTAAAATAGCAAAAGTGGATTCTGACACGATCTTAATGCTTTAGGGCCCTGTGCTTTTGGTACCGATTTAAGAACCACAGGGTATTTTAACATTTCAGTAATACATTTATGACCTAAGACATTAAAGTGAGCAAATGATGACAAAATGACTCTGATTGCTGTGAATGTTTCCTTTAAATACTGGGAATGTTGTGGTATTTATTGTATTTTTTTAATTACTCATAACTAGATATACACATACACATTTGAAGTCAATATGAAATAAAAGAATGGTTAACTAAAGGTTGTCAACTTAAAAAAAAAAGCAGAATGCAGTTGCTTGTTTTTTTTTTCTTTCTCATAATTTGTCAATTCAATCAATATGCACAAAATATTCCAAATTTGAATTAATTAATTAATTAATTTTTATTTATTTATTTATTTATTTATTTATTATGACTTACAAATGAGAACTTACAAATTCTACACATAATGCCGAATACCATGATGTAATTAAAAGAAAACAAAATTGAGATTGCGTTTTATGTTGATTTTAAAACCACAGCATTTTTAATGACACCTTGGGACGGTTTGTGTGTTCACAGCTAATAAGAGTTCACCCTTCTCCTTTAGTTGTCCTCCCTCTGTTTGTGTGTGTCTGTTTGCGTAATTGTTTGCTTGTGTTTGTTTGTAATATGCGGTGTGAATGCTTGTATAAAAACCAAAGGTGTATTGTCAATTTGACCCCACAGCACCCGGTGACATGGCAGCCATCCAAAGATGGAGAGCGCCTAATAGGGCGGGTAGTGCTAAACAAGCGGATGAAAGATGGCACAGTGCCCAGAGACACAGGGGCATTGCTGGGCCTCAAGGTAAGAGACATCCAGCAATGAATGGCTCACTAAAAGCCCTGCTGAAGATTCTAGATCAGCTAAGAACTTCAGCAGACACTTTCATCAACTTTATACACAATGACGGAGGTTTGTTTTACTTATTACAACTTTCTCTTAACCTTTTAACTGCCCCACCAAGAAAAAAAATGTTGGATTGCTTTTCTTAACTCCTAATGTCGCTAGTTAACACTCCGATGCATTGTTTTTAACGCATCTTATAATTTCTGAAATATCAATCTCCACTAAATGGTTAATATGTTGGTTTATGGTAAAAGTATTCCAGAATTAATACATATACTATGGAAATTGTGAAAATATGAAATGTAAGACCAATTTATTTAAAAACATAATCAAATTAAAACACTTTTGAATACTAAATCACCTTTATTTTTTGCAGTATGCCATAAAATGTTTCACATGCGCATTTAACATGTTTCCGATGTTTTTTGTTTTTTTTGTTTTTTTACAATAAAATTAAAAGCAAGTGTAGTAGTGCAACAGGATTATGTTTGTTCAATTTGTTTGCAAACCAACAACGCTGTGTGTATAAACCAGGGCTATTCAATTAGTTTATCATGGGGGCCGGTTCATGAAAAGCATCCCAAACGAAGGGCCGGAGAGATATGCTATATGATTGATGACACAACTGCATATAAGCTGGATTCAGGGCTTGACATTTAACTTTTTGGATCACCAGCCGCAGTGGCTAGTAGTTTTCCAACGTTACTAGCCACTCTGCATTTTTTACTAGCCACAATTTTGTTGTTAGGAAATTATATATTTTTTTGACTTGCTAAAATACTTGATTAAGATTTTGTGTTTTGTCCACATGCCTCCTCATTCATTTCACATTTTGTGTGTCATGTGTGAGCAAATTGGTCATGTTTTATAGTGTTATACTGCTATTAGTTTTTATTTCAAATGACTTTTCAGAACTCAAAATTGAGGATTTACCAAATTTCTGACCACACCAAACAATATTTATTTCTTAGCCACAAATTTTAAATGTGTCAAAACAAGCTAAATATAGCTGTATACTATATATTTTATTTAACACATTATTTCTTTAAAAAAAAAATCTAAGAAAAATAATTGACTTTTAAAAATAAATATTGTCACGTATCACAAATATGCACAGTAATCTGTCCTGGCTAATCAGTGCCCTGTCCAGGCACAGTAATCTGTCCTGGTCTCTCAGATCACCAGTTAACCACACATAAATGTAGAGTTAATCTCATATTAAAGCAATGTTATTGTAAAAAAAAAAAAAAAAAAAAAAAAAAAATATATATATATATATATTAAACCATATAAACAAAAATAACCATAAGCAAAAGAAAGCAGGTGACAAAACATACTGTGTGATAATGAAAGAATGATCACATAGGTTAAGGCCAATTAATAATCATTTCAAAGCGAAAGCAACTGGTGCTGCTTACAAAAAGACATATTTGGAGTTCTTGAAAGCAGCAAGACTGTGGGTGCATTAGCATAACTTTATGTGTAGTCTATATGAAAGAGAACCAATTACAGTTGCGTTCCAGGCATGGTTGCTTCAAGCAAGGAAAGTGGAGCGCGCACACATTTTAAACAGTCGCACGCATTACATCAGCTCATTCGATATTCACCTGCTTTCTATTGCTCGCGCGAACGCAATTATTTTTGTTGTGCTGTTTCTCCATTCTAAGATCACATTTGCATGCATATCTTTATAGTCGAAGCCTGCTTTTAAGAAAACTTTTAAGACTTTTAAGACAACTTAAAGATAATTTTCAACCAGCCAAAGTGGCTTGTAGGAGTGACTGTTTAACCCGCTGAAATCTACCAGCATTTAGCGGGTTGGCGGGTGTTAATATTAAGCCCTGGCCATATTATTCCTTAAGACACCCTCGTTGGCTTTTTCTACATTGAAATGTTAATATATTGTATTTTGAAACTACATAATATCAGTGCTTAGTACAATAGACTTTTTTTTTTTTTTTTTACAAACATTTAAATGTTGTATTTCAGAGCACAACAAAAGCAGGTCATTGCTGAAGTAAGCTTCATCTACATTCAGACACCTTCTTATGTTATTTTTTGAACTGCAGAAAAATTAGAGATGCAACAATTATAGATTTTGGTTGTACTGTTATATAGTTTGAAAAATAATCATATGGTTTCGCAGTTGTCACGTCTAATGTAAATGTAAGCTTAAGCTAAGCTATTTAGGTAAATTAAATGTAAGCTAGATTAACTGTTGTTGTCATCTGCGTTTATGCATACATAATCATTTTATTAATTATTCGTTTAACATATCTTTTGTTTACATTGCACTGAAAGGCACGCACAACTCGAACTGTGAGATGTTTTCTACTTCGTGCAACAAAAATGCAGCTTAGAGAAACCGTTACGATTAGTTAACTGTGCCGAATTAAAGCGCAGTTAATAGTGAAATCGGCTAATCGTTGCATCCTTATTGATGATACCAATGCATAGTGAAAAAGGCCTTTTCGACAAACACATCCAAATGTTTTCGGCAGGCGCCACTCGCTTATGGTGTCTCATGCTCTGCGCAGCCTCTACAGCTCATGCTGTATTAAACAGACGTACGTCACTTCATAACTATAGTGATTATTTTTCGACTGAACTAAATTTATTTTTGATGTGTTGGCCACACTATTTGGATGGCCGGAACAAATTGCCTCGGGGGCCGGGTTCGGGCCGCCAATTGAAAAGCCCTGGTGTAAACCATAATTTAAAACAGTCATTCTTTACATGACTTTAACAGTCATTATTTAAAACAGTCAAAATATATTTTCATCCAAAAATGTGAACTAGATTCATTCACAAAACTAAAATATTGCATGAACCGTTTGCAAATAAAGCACCGTTTCCAGCCAATGAGTCAAAGTGAAGAAAATTGTAATTTCCGGAGGAACTAATGGCAAAATTGAAAAGAAAAAATGAAAATTGCTGCAATAAGAGCAACCGTCTATACGTACACCCAGTTCTGCCCAAACAAAAGATGATTTTCATCATAGGTGCTGTCTAATGTCATTAATGGGCAAACTAACTAATCGACCGCATTGCATCTAAAATGTTGTTTTGGTTATTCTAAAGGCTCTCAGCCAGTCATATTGGGGTGAGACAGTTCTTACTGTAGTTTTTCTCACAAATGTTACGTGAGATCTGCTTCCTTCATGTCTGTCACTGTGCTGTTTATCTGACACAGCTGAGGCAGAGATTGAGGCAGATTCTGACAGGCATGCGGGAACGGTGGGCAGGGAGCACCAGCATTGAAGGCACAGGCAACAAAAACAGCTACATAGTGTTTAGAGCAGAAAATTCTTACATTCTAAAAAGCTACAATAAATAATCTGGTGCGTGTTTTAAGCTGAAACCTTACAGACACATTCTGGAGACAGATAAATCTACAGATAAATTGCTTATCATATATCTTGAAGGGGTAAAATAGTTGCCCTTTAATGCCATTTTTGTTATTAGACTAATAAAGCAAAATCATATGTCTTTTTTGATGCACATGCTTTAATTTATGTGGTAAATATCTTTCCATTGTAGTTTATCTGCTTGTTAAGTGGTAACGTGTTGGTGACGTATGTAAAACTGTTTCCGGGTCCAAGCCGCCACTAATTTGATTTGAGCAAGCAATTTTCCCTGTACAAAATGTGTAGCATTTATTGTGTTTGTTTTCTGTTCTCTCTCTCTCTCTGTCTCTCTCTCTCTGTCTCTCTCTCTCTCTCTCTAAAGTATGGACTGTTAAAAACAATGCAGAAAATGTCAATTTAGCAGTTCACTAGTCATTTATATATTTCAAACTTTCCTGTAATAAAAACACCACTTGCCAGGCACCTTTGCATGAAAAATAAAATAAATAAATAAATAAATAATAATATAAATAAATTTCATAGTTTGAGGTCATACAGTCATAACTTTAAATTATGACTCATGACTATGCCCACATGGAATCTGCACTCATCATTTAGTCTCTTTATTTACTTGGGTAAATGTGTGTAAATTTAAATTTGATCATTTTCAGTTTTATTAATATTATTGACTATTATGAAAATGTTCATATGATTTATTTACAATACAGTCTGATATAATAAGAGATATATTGTATGACTATTGTATATATTAATTATCGCAGTATTATATGATGTGCTTTGTTTACCAATGTATATGTGGATCTAATTGGAATTTGAATTGTAAACACCAAATAACAGTTAAAAGTGTATTATTTTTTATTTCATACATTAAGTTTTTTAGTTACGATACTCCCAAAATCATTCCACATAAATTTGCAGATTATCTACAAAATTACGTGTAGAAATAGCAAAACATTGTGCTGATTCTTTGTGGCCCTACGCATGACTTAGTTATATAAGTTAATAAGCCTTGCAGACTCCATTTGTACTTAAAAACATAATTGAACATGTTTTAAATAAACTGCATTGCGGTTGGTCTGTATTGCAGGTGGTGGGAGGGAAGATGACGGAGTCTGGCAGACTTTGTGCTTTCATCACGAAGGTGAAACGTGGAAGTCTAGCAGACACTGTTGGTCATCTACGACCAGGTGAACACATCTGTACACTTCACAATTAAACTAAATTCTGTCTTTCTTACATAGATTGTCTTTATTGGGTTTAAGAATCTTTTGAAGATTACAAATTGATAACAATTTATTTTGATGGTCCATGTCAGTATCAGTAGACTGTCTGCTTAATATCTACTGATACTGCTCGTTCAACAGACATTTACGCTTACACTAACCCTAACCCCAACCTAACAGTCTACTTATGACCTAATGAGAATTAGTTGACATGTAGATGCAATGTAACTTTTAACAAACGGACCATCAAAATAAAGTGTGACCCACATAGTAATGGAATGTACTTTTAATGGACGGACAGAAGTATCTTAAATGATCTCTAACAACTTCAATGTATGTATTTCTGTTAAATCGCTGTATTTTATATTTAAATGAATTTATATTTTTAGGATGTCTTTATAAAGCATCAAAGTTTAGTCTTTTCTTTCTTTTCATTACCATTAAAAATGAATATTATGGTTAATATTTGATTTTCTTCTTTAGTGTTTTTAAAGAATATTCAGCTATTTTATTTTAATAGTAATTTATTTATTCCCTCGTTCATTCCTGAATAAAAATGTTCTAAAGTGATTTTGTTTTTTGGCATAGTAAATTATGATTAAAGAGACAGTTCGCCCACAAAATATAAGTCATAATTTATTCACCCTTTAAACCTTTGGGAACCTGTTACCATTGACTTCTATAGTGCTTGTTTTTGCCACAATAGTAGTAAATGGTTACAGGTTTTCAGCTTTCTTTAAAATATCTTCTTTTGTGTTGAACTAACTCTTTAATTTTATTTAAAGGTGCTGTATGTAAGTTTTTATGCTCTTCTAAAGCATAAAAATACCATAATATGATTGCAGATATTTAAGGAACATGCCAAGTGAGCATTCTTGTCTATCTGAAAAACAATGCTAAAGTCAGATATTTTGCTTTTAAAATGGGCGTTCCATGCTGGAACACTGTCTTTGATTTGCTCCCTTTAACTCCTCCAATGCCACTTTAGCCAATTATATTTCAGCACCCCGGAAAACTGCAAATTTCATTCATTTATTCAAAAAGGATCTCAAAGCATGTGCCCGTGACTGAAATGCGACCTCCGGTGGACAGTAGCAAACTCCGAAATGAGATGCAGATTCAGAGTTCCACATGTGGTTATAATTAGCAAATGATATACATATTATGAATGTAAACATTAGGTGAGCAGGTAACCTCTTGTCCTAACAACATGCTGTGTGACGAGATTTGTAATGATAAGCAAATTCTCTGTTTACATGATGAAAAAAGACAGACATTTATTTCTGCGATTCAGAAGAACAAAATATGCACTCACTCACAAAATGGTAAGGGTTATAGTCTAATTATTACAGAGTAAACCTCTTTAACATTATTAAATTTACATGCTGAATCACTGATAAGTGTTGGCTTGCACAGAAGTTCAATTTCAACCGGTTTATTCAATTTTCAAGATCTGAGGTAAACAATGTGCTGCTGCTTTCAGTGGTATGGCTATAAATGTCATGTAAAATGGCATTCAAACTAACATTATTAGAATTTAGAACTGAATAAAGCACATGAGGTTTATCTGAGGTAAACACAGTCAGTTTATGCTGTTGTTCACCGATGAAAAATAGAGGCCGCTTTTAATATATCGATTCGAGATTGGTTAGAACAAAAACCCTTTTAATATGGAAAATATCCCTTCTATTGTGTGACGTTGCTTTTATTAAGAACACGGTTTAAATCAGCCTTAAATCAGCCTGTTGGTCATCACTCTGGCAACCTGCATTTGCATTTGTTTTGGTCCAGGAATGTAATACCTAGTTCAACTACTGGGTGTCAAATTTTAATACTGCACCTTTAGCAATTATAAATAATTATTTGTAGAACGCTATGATACTATTTTTCTATTAAACAGAAAAAAAATGTTAATTATTATTATTATTATTATTATTATTAGTAGTAGTAGTAGTAGTAGTAGTAGTAGGTAGTAGTAGTATGACTTTGAGAAATGCATTCTACTATACAATAATAATATTGTATAGTTTAAATATGTTTATAGTGTGGATATTTCTGTGTGTGCATGATATAAAAAAAGATTTCTCATATTCCACATAACAAATATGATACAGTAGGACCCTAAATCTTCATTTGAGTTTCTAAGTTCATGAGAGCAAGGAAATGACAGAATAAAAAGGTATATGTGAAGAATTCCTTAACTTCACCCTTCTCCTTTAACATGCACATTTAAGTCTAGAACATACTCCCTTGTCTAGACATGCTTTGTCGTGTCTGTCTTCAGGTGATCAGGTTCTGGAGTGGAACGGGAGAGTTTTGCAAGGAGCCACATTCAAGGAAGTTTACAATATCATTCTAGAATCCAAGCCAGAGCCCCAGGTGGAGCTGGTGGTCTCACGGCCCATTGGGTGAGTTGAAGCGGGTGATGGATCATTACTCTGACCAGTACTCAACGTGTCAGTTCACGGACACAGAGCACATTTTCTTTGACAATGGAGGTTTATGAAGAAGGATAGCCTGTGGGAGCTCAACATATGAATGCTTGTATTCTCATACACACACACACACACACACACACACACACACACGCACACTCTGCTCACGCTTTAGGAAAACACTTGATTTCAGTGATATACTGTGCAGCTAAATGCTAAATGTTTTTTAAATAATTTTGTATGTTTTTTAATGTTTTCTTAATATTTTATTTATGATTTTGAATCGCATTGTGTGACCTTGATTTTTCTATCAACAACTTTTAACATTGAAAAGTTTGATAAAGTGATTTTTATAAAAAAGTAATAAGACTTATAAAGACTTATTGCTCAATATAATGTTTCTCAAGCATATTTCAAACTACTAAAATGCCAATAAAAGTCACTTTTTTAAACCGTAGAGTAGAATTTTAATGCGATTCACAACCGTAAATAATGGGAAATTTTTAAATAAATAAGTAAATAATTGGTTGTTTTTTACACCCTATACAGTCAAATTACTTTATTATAACGAACTGTTGATGGTATCTTCTCTAAAATGTGCCATGTCAGTTTTGTGCTTGTTTTTTTTTGTGTTGTTAATGTCCTAATCTGATCTAAAAAACTGATTTTGGGGCTAATTGGGGCAGTTTTTGTTTTTACTAATTGTCAGGACTATATATATATATATATATATATATATATATATATATATATATATATATATATATATATATATATATATA